TGTGAACAATTCAAGCAGAAGCAGAGAATGCCAATATATTCACAAAACAATTAATTAATATACAGCAGCTGTAAGCTTACAATATATAGGCATATAAAGATGCCCTAGATAAGTAAAAGACCTAACTACCCTTAAAAGACACAGACTCAAATATATATTAATATTGGCTATACAATTGTCACATGTATGTGCCCACAAGCTCTGCCATCATCTATTCACACAAACAAAGACATCCCAGATGGTGAAAATGGGAATTAAAACTCTTGGTTAGTTGATCACAACAATTATGGTCGTGAAAGCCAACGATCTTTTGGCCTAGTGACACTCAGTCTCCACTTTCACGGACAATAATTGTTGAATCAAAAGAAGGATTTAACCACAAAAATGGATGTATTGTCAGTTACCCTTTGGAAGATTGAAGTAGAAATTTCAGCCTTAACGGTACGTTTCTTCTGAGTACCAGTTGCCCCTGCTTCTTGCACAGCAGTGTGTCCTGTGGACAAGACAAGTTTAGGGGAAGAAATTGAAAATGAATTAGACATTGCAAAAAGTAAGAGAGCTTGAGCTTGACTTGATGACCACCTCTAGCAAACACTTAGATATATATGCAGTATTTCTTGCATTAAAAGGAGGAGTTTGTCGGCACTGTCACAAGGATATTTTCCATATATGTTATGGAATTTTATATATCATACTTTCTTGCCATGAATTGTTTTGGTTTGTAGTTGTGCATAATCTATTGAAGCCGGACTAAATATCTTTTTTCTTGTTTGTTTTTGGAAATTGATTTGAATAGCATACGTTTTTAGTATTTGGGAATCAATTTGGTGGTATCAGAACTAGTAAACTTGATGTGGGGCTTCCATCTGTCGATTACAAAAGTATCTGTCATGTTCAAGAACTAGGTCAAATGCAACAGTGAATGGCTCATATCAGTATCAGCTAGCAAGTTAACAAGAAGAGAAAAAAGAGAAGAAAGTTAGATTTTTTTTACCTTTTGGTGAAATGTAATTTTGCTCATTGAGTCATATCCTATAATTCCATTACATGGAACAAAGTGTCCATTCAACCTTTGAATTTCATTTGTAAAATTTTACCAAGAATAATTACGAAGTAAGCGACAAAGTTTGTGGCTTAGTGAAGCAAAATTTCAAATTGAACAAATTGTGCAGAAGTTCTTAGTTTTGGTTGCAGAATTGAGTCTCATTTACTAAATTACTAAATCAGAATTGAGTCTCATTCAATATTGGCAGCTCCACTGCTACACATCAGCTATGAAACTTTAACACGAAACTTATTAACGAAGATTTAAGCGAAAACTTCTGACTTTAATGATAAAGCACTTATCTTAATATTTACGACAAAGGTTCAATTTTTGCTCTGCCCTACTTCATTTAGATCAAGAACAATATATTTGACTAACGATTAATGATGTTAGGACCAATAATCACATGCAGACCTTCCTAGAATTTAATATGTAGCAAACAGATGTCACCACCAGGTTTTTCGGAAATTCAATGCCTTGCTGCCAATTGGCACCCTACATTCTGACCAAAAATTAATATATAGCATTCAACATAAATTTATTGCTGCAAATTTTAAATTAACATCATTGAACTTCCTGGACCAGCATTAATTGGTTAAAGAATATTGCAGATATTTTTTGTTTTGATAGGCAAACAAAAGTATTGCATTGCAGCTCAGGTTAATAGATTTATTTCTTTCGATCAAAAGGGAAGATTTTATTGGCTGTGTGTTGGACAAATAGAGAGGTGCTGCCATGCAGCTGAAAGATAACCTATATACTTCTTTTTGATATATTGCAATTTTACTTTGTAACCACAAAATGATTTGGTCTCGTGGCATTCAGTTTTCACTTTGTTGAAGGAGGTTTGAAGTTCGAATCTTATTGATAAATAAATAAAAGAATTTGAAAAGTAGGAAAAGTGGAGAGAAAAGACAATGCCTCATAAAAATATTAAGTGAATCATGGTCTGGGGGAACCTTATTAATGGGCTCTTTTGGTGCCATACTAAGAAGCAAACGATATAGAATCATGAGATGCTCATAGTAGAGGTTATGCCTGTCTTAATAGGGCATAAAGCCTACCAATTCATAATTGATCATCCATTGGCCAATTTTTACTGTTTTTTTCTCTGGAAGAAGCATCAAAAGCCTGCATTTTTCTTAGTAGAAAAAGCATCAGATTCAGGACCACTGCAGAAGTCAACACAAATATATTACCTAGGAGCTTTAAAGATGCAAATGATTTGGTGAGGGATCAAGATGAAGCAGCTATATACCACTAGATGAAAGCTCAAACCTATTAAGTACAAAAGAAAAAAGTAATGATCATGAACTTCTGATTTATTATCTTATAAGATTATTATATGGGATGATGAAGATGATTTGCTTAATAAATTAGATTAGATGCTGCATCCCATTAACCATTTTTCTTCGGGACTTTGAAAAACTCCCACTGACTATATATTTATATTTATAAAATACTCCAAGAAAATGCAATGTGACCAAAACTGACAGGAAGCTGTGAACAAATCAAGTTTACTCAAAAGGGTAATCTGGAAGTTAAGTAGATAATTAGTCTGCAAACTTGTTTCATCAGTGTGGAAGTGGAAGGCTGGGATGAGAACTCAAGTGATTGGATCTGTATCTCTTTGTGATTTGTAAAAGGCATTTATAGACCCCAAAAGGTAAATCAGAATCATGCTTTGAGGTTATTGGCTTTGAGGGCCTCAGCCACAGTGTAGTTATAATATGGCTGCAAGTCTGGCCAATTAGGGTCTAGTTACTTGCACCAGCCACCATCTCAAAGTGGATCAAATCTTTACTAGTTCCATATCCTGCTTTTGGAATTAACAGCACTGAAGCTGCTGATTTGTTACTTTTTCTGCATAAATTTTATTCTATCTTGTGTGGTTTGTTCTCAACAAGTGTTCAAGAAGACCATGAGCCTCCTAAGATGACCTGATTGACAAAGTTAGATTCTGTTTGCTTCAAACATTTTAAACCTGTTTCTCCCTCTAAATGGTCTCCTCCAACTGAATTATATATTGGTTCAAGATGAACTTTGTTGCTGCCATTAAATTTGATCCAACTCTAGGTGAAGCAAGGGCTGCTCTCTTAGCAATCACCCAAGCTGCAAAGTTATTCTAAATTCAAGTAATTAATTCCATAGAAAATCAAGATTCTTCTTCTGGTTTGGAAAATGATGTATCAAAAGAGCTTTAGCATGGCCAGGTACTGCAACTTTGCGGCTCATAATGTTGGACAATGTGCTTCATCTCATGACCTGTATCAGGCTCCAACTTTTCTTTGGTTCTAAACTCGAAATTAAATATCTAACTAGATATCTAGTTTAGAACTAAATATCTCTACCTAAATATCATGACATGATGACAGTTTTGTAAATTATAGGAAGTTCAAAGCCTCTTTGTTACGTTGTAAATGGATTTTGGGTGTGTTTCTAATATCTATTTCATGTATGAATTTTTTTTATAATTTGAGCCCCTATATTGGACATAAGAGTGAAACTCCCTCTAAACTATTTGGAATTGTAATGTTTATGTCTTCTTTTCCTCCGCTTTTGCATCTTTTACTCAGAAACCAAAACAAAGGGGCAGCTAAAATGTTATCCTTAGAGATTGAACTTTTATTTTGGTTACATTAATATACCAACAGTATAGCTACAAATTTTGTACATACATATATGTTTCAGAGTAATATACCTATCTGAGAAAGAGAAAAAAAAGCGTAATAAGCATCTCCAAGGGAGATGTCAAATACCAAACATCAAATTTAAATTTGATGTCTGATGTGGCAATTTGATATCTTACATAGCTTTACACTCCACCCGATATGTCAAATTAAATTATTATTTTATTATATTTTAGTGTTGATTCATTTTTAATTAAAAAGAAAAGAAAATAAAAAATAATAAAATATTCATTTGACATCTTGTTTTTGGGATGTCAAAAATAACATATCAACCTTCAGCCTTCATTCCACATCAGCTTTGACATATCGGTTGGAATGATGTGAGATGTTATTTCTAGCTGTTAGATGTCTATGCGGCACGTTTAACACATCAGTTGGAGATGCTCTAATAACTCTTTGGTCAAAATTTGGGAAGGGATGTGACATTGGAGTTCAAACCCGAGATCATTAATTTTGTGAAAACAATAAGAAATTCTAAGACTCATTATCTTTGGTTACTTGGTAAAAACAAAAAAAAGGTTTAAAAAAAGTTAAATAAGTGCTTATGAAACTAGTAAACATTTACCGTCTTTTCAAAGGGTGAGTCAATTAAGTATGTTTTTAGTGGCCAGCAAAACGTGAAGTAACAGACTCCGTATGATAAGCTGATTAAAGATTGCGATCCTTTGTGGGTCAAAAACAGATTGTGATTGATCCCTCACCCAAAAAATTGTGAAGAGTTTTAAGATTGCGATAGTCTCTAAAAATTTATTATCTTCTCTGCCTGCCTGCAGAAGCTCTAATTAATAACTTTTTATTCCATAAGAAATTAGACATTATATTATTACTGAAATAAAAGGCATGTATTTGGACGAATATTAATTCAAAATCCTCTACCGTTGACCTTTGTAGTTAGGTGGAATTTCTTTATCTCTCAAAAAACAAGAGTCTAGTGGAGAATATGTATGGTCAAAAGGTCCTTTCGTTTGCCAAAAAGAATAACCCTTTTGCATTTCTTAGCAATGTTGCCCTAATTGGTTGCTCCCAAAAAAATAAAATAAAATTGTTGCCCTAATTGGTATATAGCAGTTGGAAACAAACAACTCTCACCTAAGACACGGATGGCTCACTTGAAAATTTATTAAGAAACTCTTTTTCTTCTTTCGAAAGTATCATTGTTTGTTTCTTGCTAACAAGGCCTAACTCTCAGCAGAAAAGGCCCTTGACTTCAGAATAGTGGTGTCAAATTCGAATTCCCATTACTCGTGGTAGTGTGTGTGAGAAAAACTCTCCTCCCCCTATAGTTTAAATCATTGTTTATATTAAAAAAAAACCTATAATTTAATTAAATTAATTACAACGGTATAATCCATTATGGCAATAATAAAAATATCCGAAAGATAATGGCAATCGAAAACTCAATCTTTTGGTGCATAGGAATATCTGTTCACTAAAAACATCCCATATGATATTCATTCATTTGAATACAACACTAGTACAAATACAAACATATGCATACATAACCGTATAATATAATACTAAGTAATTTTTTTTTTGTCGAACTAAGTCATATTCTTGGTCCCCAATAATCAAAAGTTTTGGTGGTCAATTATTTTCGAATCAAAATCCAATATTTGATAATAATTTTAAAGATTTAAGCACGTTATCGTGATTTGAATCAAGTTTGAAAGTCAACTATTGAACTTTGATTAAACAATTAATGATCATGAATTTTTATAGTGAAGTGATAAAACTTTAGAGTATTGCTAACATCAGCCGTGCAAGCGTTAAATACTAATGATGAATATTGAAGCGTCTTCCTTGTAGTATTTAGCTACCCCAAAA